ATTAGGAAATAAAGAAATTCACTAAATAGTTTATATTTTATACAAATTTTATTTAAAAATAACTTCAATATAAATACAATACATTATTACATTTTAGCTTGTATGTTACCGGCTTTGTTGATTTTACTTGAGTGATGGTGAATATTTCAGTTGTCCAGATGGGTGTGTATCCTTTTTCGAAAATATTCTTATACTTGCTAACTCGCACTTTATCACCAACTTTGAATTTGTCTTTCTTAGATAAAATTTTCCTTTGTTTGGATATGCGTTTCAACAGTCTCTTTTCATCTTCCCTGCTGACATCCTTAGGTTTCATTCCGATAGTGCGATGTTTATTATTATTGTACTTTTTAACAAGACATGGTAAAATGTCTTCCCATTTGTAATTTCCTCGTAAGTTGAACTGTGGCCACATCATATTTTATAATGTGCGGTTAAATCTTTCAATAATTAAAGCTTTTAAATTACTATAAGTTGAATACAGTTTAATTTTATATGATTTCATTAAACTCTCAAATATAGAATTATAAAATTCTTTCCCTTTATCAGTATACAATTTTTTAGGAACACGTCCATTCACAAGTATAGATTCCATAGCTTCAGAAACATCTTTTCCACTCTTACTTTTTACAGGAATAGCCCATGCATACTTAGAAAATATATCTATAACTGTAAGCATATATTTGAAACCTTTATTAACTTTAGAATAAGGTATCATTTCAACTAAATCTGCTTGCCAAGTTTCATCAATCCCACGCATTTCTACTTTTCGACGTGGATAATTTCTCCGAGCTTGCCTATGTAACTCTGTCACAACTGTTAACTTTTGATCATTCATGTTGAAGGATTTTTAACAAAAAGTGATCTTAATAGAACAATATTCAATATAATAATGATTTTAATTTTACAAGTTCACTTTTAATATATAATTTGAGCTTCCCGTAATTCTTCAATTATTATTGACATAATTTCATTGTTATGACTTGAATTGACAGCCTGTTGTGATACGACAAGTAAGCGTAGACGATCAACAATCTCGTTTGGATCATCCCAATAGACAAAGTCTGGATATGATTCTTTCCTAACCCTCATAAATTGTGGTAATTGAGTTTTTCTCTTCAAATAAGAATCTCCAGATTTCAGCAAAAGTTTTGCAATAACATTAGTATATTTAAAAGTCTTATTACTACGTATAGGTTTATTTGGGCTATAGTTCTTTCTATATGCATTCGTACTACGCAGGATTTCTTTACAGTTTACGAAATCATTAGCATTTGTTAACTTCTGATCAGGTTTTTTACGAAATATGAGTTCTAATAATCCATCCGTTTTAGAATATTTTTTCTTCCCAACTAGATTAATGTAAGAACCTTCAAAATCAATTTGCGTATCACCAATCATATATGTACCGTCGGAAAGTTTACGTACTCTATAAACCGTATCTTTATATTGTTTCCTATTTTTGTCCGACATTTGTAGAAATTTCTTTGTTAATTTATCAGAATCTTTTTCCACAGTATTAACCACATTACTTTCATCTTTAATATTATTAAATAGATATTAAATAGATTTGTTGAAAGGTGTATCTTTACTAATGGCAGTCTTAAAAGATGATTCAAAGTCTTCTTCTTTCTTTACATGGTTTTGAAAATTTTCAATCTTTATAGGATTTTTAGTTATATTAACTAATTTTTCCAATGGAGTAACTAATGGTTGAAAGGTTTCTTTCAATATATTTTCAGCTGACTCTCTGCCACTTTTAAGAATACGATGCTTTCGACGTATAGCATCACTTGCTGCAGCTATTTGATGTAGTGTCTCTCGCTCCTTTCGAAACATGTTTATTGATGAAAGTCTCAAACTGAACTAATGCAATTCTCTTGAAATGCTTAATATTTATAACTGGATAAAGCAATCAAATCCCTTCCTATATGTGTCCTGACGCGGTGAAAGGGACCTTATGGTATAATAGCAAATTGTACTTTTGAATGTTCATAATAAAAAACGAATTGAACAAAATAATTTCTAATTTTTGGAAATGAAAGAGCAACACAAATAATTTGATTTCCAAAAATTAGAAATTATTTTGTTCAATTCATTTTTTATTATGAACATTTAAAGTACAATTTGCAATTGGACCATAAGGTCCCTTTCACCGCGTCAGGACACATATCTTCCATCATTTATATTTCTGTCTTTATCAATAATTACAAATCCATATCTGTCAGAGTTTCAACATACTGAACATAAATCTCGAAACTGTGTAAACGTCATATCTGTATTAACATTATCATTGTAAACATGCTTGAGATTCCTTTCATCTTGTCTGAATAGCACAAGCAAATTAATATTATCTCTAACAAGATGTTTTGGAATATGAGCATATGTTTGACAAAGATAAAAACTATCGACGTTAACATGTCGCCCCATACAAAAAAACGCTTTAACATTGTCCTGCTTTTCACAAGCGATATCATCAAAAATGAAAATTGAATTAGTTTTTGTATCTTTAGGTGTAACAACTTGTTCATGTTCACTGAATGGGAAAAACTCGATGCGATCGAATACTATTTGAAAATAAACTTCCATGTTGTTTAACCCCATTATCTTTAGTTTCAATGAGGTTATCCACATTTGCAATCGGAAGTTGTACAGCTTGTACCTTGAACTGCATCTTGAAATTGACTAACGAAAAAAACTATAAATACCCCACTTATATAGTCACCCTCAATCAGTTGGTTATAGACCATTGTCGAGTGAGGAATGATTACTCATGATAAAGTGAAGAAAAATTCTTGCAGTGGTCAAGGGTTTCTCAATACTTTAATTAACAAATTACCATTCGAGTGTCACATTCCTGGTTATCAATATTATGGACCTGGAACAAATTTGTCAAAACGTCTTGCACGAGGGGATCCTGGTATAAATTCTTTGGATACGGCTTGTAAGGAGCATGATATAGCCTATTCAAAAGACAAAGACGTGGCTGCAAGAAATACTGCAGACAAAATACTAGCTGAAAAGGCGTGGGAAGGAGTAATTTCCAAGGACGCTAAAATTAGTGAAAAAGCAGCTGCATTAGCTGTAACTAATATAATGAAAGCTAAATCTAAATTTGGGATGGGTTTAAAAATTAATAATAATATTAAGAAAAAGATTGTGAAGAAGAAGAAGAAGAAGTCGAAGAAGAATACAATTTCCAAGAAAAATAAACGCATGACATTAGGGAAGATTATTCATGCTGCTAAAAATAATATGAAAAATAATCATAACGCAACGGACACTATTAAAACAGCAATGATTGGTGCACAAAATGCAGTTAAAAATCTTGATAGTAATTGTAAAATTTCATCACCTCGAATTCTTCCTGTACCTTCAAAAGTTGGCGGTATTTTACCGCTAATACCAATTTTTGCCGGGCTTAGTGCATTAGGAGCACTTAGTGGTGGAGTCAGTGGTATTGTAAAAGCAGTAAATGATGCTAATGCTGCTAAAAAACAACTTTCAGAAGCTCATCGACATAATGAAACAATGGAGGCCATTGCTATGGGAAAGGGTATATATTTGAAACCCTATCGTAAAGGACTTGGTCTTTATATTAAACCACATCAAGGAAATGGATTGAAATATACAAAGAGTGTTCAAAAAAACTAATATTGAAGCTACCTCACCGCGCACTAACCGACTATGATTTACTTAAATATGCTAAACTTATGAAAATACCTAAATTTCGTGAAGTTTTTATGAGAAATGAATTACCTATTACAGGACCTTATAAATGTGAATCAGCCATAATTAATCTTGATAATAAAGAAGGTCCTGGAACACATTGGGTAGCATATAAAAAGATAAACAATGAAACTGAACATTTTGATAGTTTTGGAAATCTTTCACCTCCATCGGATCTCATTGTTTATCTAGGTGTTGGTAGCTATATTAAATATAATCATGAGAGATATCAAAATTTTGATACATTTATATGTGGTCATTTATGTCTTAAATTCTTATGTAAGCAACTTAACGTTAAGAACAGTTTTAATCTATATAAGAATATGTAAACAATTATAACCTTCAGTATAAAAGTAGATGTCCAACATGAATGACTCTTTTACTTTAACGTTAACGGGAAAGTCTTCAGTTCTGGAGGCTTCATACTTCCCACCTATTGAACTTTCACCTAATAAAAATTATACACTTGGACTTGTTGATTTATTTACATATAACTCAATTCCTAATATTGATGAAAGTTCCAACAAATTTTACATAGATGATTTTGAGTTTACTATACCTACAGGTAGTTATGAAATTAAAGATGTAGAAGAATATTTGCTGCGTCAAATACCAGATGATGATTATTTAGCAATAGATTCCAACAATAGTACATTATAATGCAATATTAAATCAAATCTTTCGATGGACTTTACTCCGGAAGATTCTATTGGTAGTTTATTGGGATTCACTGCTCGCATACTAAGGCCGAATTTAAAACATTTCTCCGATTTACCTGTAAAAATATTGAAAGTGAATGTTCTACGTATTGAATGTAGTATTACCACTGGAGCGTATATAAATGGTGAAAATGTTCACACTATACATGAATTTTTCCCTACTGTTCCACCAGGATATAAGATCGTTGAAGTTCCAGCAGACAACATTTACCTTCCAGTCGCCGTAAGGACAATACATAACATTCAGCTACGTATAGTAGATCAGAACGGTATTTTGGTTAATTTTAGAGGAGGGACAATAACAATCCGTTTACACATTAAATCAATGTAATGGGTATTGTTTATAATCGAAAAGTTGGAAGTAGTTATAAAACTCAAAGACCATGTCCATCGAAGATCAGTTTGAATACAGCTCGCAAGGTGTTAACACCTCAGAATCGACAATTCCTGAAGCAGATAGGTCTACGAGTCAGAAATCAAAACTAAGGAAGAGAAAGAAGAGAAGAGGAGAAAATTTTTTCTTGTTTATTTTGTGTCGATGTTATAAGAAAAATGGAGGAGATTCTCAGCATTCCAGCATCAGTGAATTTTGATGAATCCATAGCTAATTATGAGATTCACAGTCATCAACCATATGCATCCTCATCGTTTAACAATAGTGATGAAATTCGCATTATTGTACAAAATCAAGATTTATCTATTTTACCAAGCAATAGTGTATTACATATTTTTGGAAGGTTGACTAATGCTGATGGAACTGATGCCACACAAAATATTCATTTCACCAACAATGCAATAGCCTATTTGTTTGATGAAATTCGTTATGAATTGAATGGTATTAAGATTGACCGTTGCAAGTATGTTGGACATACAACTACTATGAAAAGCTTGGTTTCCTTAACACCACCTCAACCTAACCGCGCTGAAAATGCAGGAGTTTTGAATGTGGAATGGAATACAAGAATGTCATTACAAGATGGATATTTTGATGTATCAATACCACTTGGTATGATTTTTGGTTTTGCTGAAGATTATAAAAAAATTGATATGAATGCTAAACATGAACTGATTTTAATAAGAGCACGTAGTGATTTAAATTCTATTATTCAAATGGGCCAAGGTGCAGATGAAGAGTTCAAAGTGCAAATTAATAAAGTGGAATGGTTAGTGCCATATGTTTTACCATCTGATAATAATAAAATCAAATTATTGAAATTTATCGAGAAAGATCCACTAATTTCAATGAGTTTTAGATCGTGGGAAATGTTTGAATATCCTTTAATTCCATCAAGTACAAGAGTCATGTGGCAAATAAAATCGTCAACACAATTAGAGAAGCCTCGATATGTAATTGTTGGATTCCAAACAGGAAGAAAAGATAAACGTAAAAAGTCTGCCAGTTATTTTGATCACTGCGACATTACAAATGTAAAACTCTTTTTAAATTCACAATTATATCCTTATGGAAATTTAAATTTAAATATTAATCAAAATCAATATTCTATACTTTATGATATGTATGCTAATTTTCAATCTTCCTACTATGGAAGAGATTCTGAACCAATATTGAAGCATGACACTTTTAAATCATTGGCTCCTCTAATTGTTATTGATTGTTCAAAACAAAATAGTTTCTCAAACAAACGTCAGTTGATGTACGTTTGGAATTTGAAGCTAGAAATAATATACCTGCTGAAACAATTGCTTATTGCCTCATCATACATGATCGCATTGTACAGTATATACCAATCAGCGGTATAGTTAAGAAGTTGTAAAGCAGTGGAGGGGGTAAAATGAAAGTAGTGGGGGGGTTGAACTGAGAGGTATATAACTCACTTTCCTGGGATAGAAATTTATTTCTATTCCAGGATGGAAATCATCGTAGACGTTCAAGGCTTCAAGAAACCCTGCAACGATTTCATTTTCAAAGAGTTGGATATACTTCCTCTTGAAGCTGATGCTCAAGCTCGAGTTTACCTCTTTGAACCTCCATGTGTTTGGAATTCACTACCTGCACGTTATAAAAGTGAAAATCTCTGACTAACAAACAATTATCATGGAATTCACTGGATGTCTGGAGATGTATCGTATGATGAACTGCGTACTATTATACAAGAAACATTACGAGGTGCAAAAACTATCTACACGAAAGGTGTTGAAAAAAAGCAGTGTTTAGAAAAATATTTGTTAAATGTCCAAAATTTAGAAGATATAGACTGTCCAGCGATTAAAAATATTAAAACTGAATCATTGTTAACTACATGTACGCATCATATTACTCAAACTAATCATTGTGCTGTAAACATTGTTATGATTCTTCGAAATTGGTTTCTGAATGTATCGAATGAATTGAGAAATTTATCAGATGGCGTCGATGAAGTGGATTTTACTTATTCTACTTTAAAATCTTTTTATGAAAATTCTGAATCTTATGTATAATAAATTTTAAATACTTATCTGAATAAATTAATTTATTAGTTTTTAAAAAATAAAAAAACGCATATTTATTACTTGAACCTATACCCTTAGTATTAAGACTAATAATGAAAGTAAAATAAGGAAAGAAACCATTTTTTATGTAAATTAATACATTTATTTTTCTCACATTCTGAATATTTACAATTTTATATTACAATTATTTTTTTATTTTATATTATAATAATTTTTTAATCTTACTTATATTCAAATTCGATTACATTAAACTTTCCGCCGATATATTTAATTGTAATTCTTGAGATTACACGGCATTTTCAATCATTGTGAATGATGCAGGTTCAGCTTCGAACAGCTTCGCGAACCTTGCTGGGAGGAAAGTGTTGAATGTAGTATCTAGTTCTGCTACAATCCTACCTCCGAATTTTGTCTGCACCCTCTTTATTTTGGTTAAAGTATATAAAGCATTTGGAGTCAACTTAGCAAGCGGTTTTGTTGGCAGGAAACTTTCCATGTGACCAATAGCGTTGAGTTTTTGTAAATCTATGATTTCTTTTTATATCTGTAAGCAGAAGTAAATGGAAAATTTTAATATAAAAATCAAAATTAAGCTTTGACGGGAGTGGGTTAAAAAAACGAGTTAAAGTAGAATATATACCTTATAGAAGATGGAGTAGTGATGCTAATGCTGTGGCAGCTGTGGATGTTGTTGCTTCAGTGTATCTGTAACAGTTATGCTATCTCCGGGCTTGTGTTCTGCATTATATCCTATCAACCCCACTTTTCTTTTTTCTCCAACTTCTTTTCACTCCTACTTTAAAAAAAACTGCGCCCGCAACTCACCGTATACTATGTATCCCTACTCTATTATAATAATGCGCACGCAAGTTGATGAAAAAAAAGAGAGAGGGGGGGAGCGCATGCAGCTCAACATATACTCTAAATCCCACTCTGGTTTTCAAGAGGGTGAAAAGTGGGAGGGTAGCTAAAAAAAAGAATAAGCAAATGAGTGGGTGACCAAGTGGGAGGAAAGTGGGTAGAATTTTAAAAAAATGCCTATGCAAAGAGGTTTAAAAATTCCCGCGAGTAACAGCGCCATCTTGCGACAACAGTCGGTAACATCGATCTATGATAAAGTAGAGTTACCATTAAAAAATAGGGACTTACCATGGAAAAAAGAAGTTTTAAAAAGTGCCGCCTTCTTCTAAAAAACAACATTAGTATATGGTAAAATAGTTACATACCATGAAAAATATAATCGGCATGCAAATTAGTGGGTGGAAAGTGGGAGGCAAGCTTAAAATGACGTGAGTGGGTGGTAGAGGGTGACCAAGTGGGAGGAATGTGGGTGTGATTCTCTATTTTAATTCTACTGCTGCAAGTGCTGAAGGTCTGCTGCTACTGATACTGGAAGCTGTAACAGAATTATTTTCCTGTCCACGGGAATCGCCTGAGGTACATGTAGTCCCCACCATTCACAAATCCCACCACTGAACAATATCCCCACTTGACTCATGGACTACCAACGGGCCCGGTAACCGTACGCGCTCAACTGCCGCGCACCTTTCACTTTTGAGTCATCCACTGTGCACCACCCACAGCCACCCACAGTCCCGCGCGGTAGGTAACTGTCCAAAGTCGCCGCCTGACAATTTCGCCGTTTGACAAATTCATCACTTTGCTATAGTTAGTGTAGAGTTATAAATTGAGTGCTGAGAAGCTCGAGAGATGGAGTTACTGAATGCTTTAGTGGATTTGTAAATATAAAAGTTTGACATGGGAGAGATTGCCCAGTTTTATATCTTTTTCACATATGTGATAATTCTTTAATTAATAAATTAATTACGTAATAAAAAAGTAATTAATCAAATAAATAAATAACTGTGTTTCATTTTATTATTGTGTTGTTAATAATTGTGAGTTTTATCTGTTATTAGTTATTATATCAAAGTGAATTTCGTGTTAAAACTTCAAGATTAGTGATAGTAATTAAATAAATAAATAATAAATTAACATTTCGTAAAGGGTTAAATAAAAATTATAGTTTTATAAATAAGTAAACAATATTTGAGGTTAGTTTTTTTTAAAAATAAAATAATAGTTGATAAATAAAAACACTAATAAATTTGATAAATAAAGCATTAATTATATAACATCTTTTTGTATATTGCAAAAATTTATTAATTTATTTATTTATTTATTTAACATATAAACATTCTAAGTATTATAATCAGATATATACATTTGATTGTTTAAAAACTAAATTCTATTTCCTATAAACACATAAATAAAAATAATATAAAAAAATAATTATTACAAATAAAAAATATTGTCAATAAAACCAAAAAAAAAAACAAGAACAGGAAAATATAATAAAATAAACACTATTCATTAATTTGACGTAAAGAAATATTTCTCCTAAATTTATTATTGCAAAAAATCAACCAGTCGATATTAGAATAGGTAATTCAAGTTAAAAATTAAGAATAATTTTTCAGGTGTCTTAATAATTTTAATAATTTCGATTTTAACGAATGGTTTATCTTTTTTTATAAAAAGTAAAAATTCGACAAAAGTATCAGGATTTTTTCTTCGTCTTTCGTTTTTTCAGGATTAAAAAAGTGCAAGAAAACAGGACTTTTTAAAAATAAAATTGTCCACGGCAATAAAATAAATTATTTCGATTTTTCACGTGTGTTTTCCGATTTTTTATTGATAAAATGTCAAATTTCAACAAAAGTGTTTGGATTTCTTTTTCTTTCGTTTTTTTAGGATCAACGAAAGCGGGAAAACAGGAAATTTAAAAAAGAAAATTGTTGGCGGTAAAAAAATATTTTACTTCGATTTTTCGCGAGTGGTTTCCGATTTTTTTTGATAAAATGTCAAATTAAGACAAAAGTGTTCGGATTTCTTTTTCTTTCGATTTTTCAGGATCAACGAAGTGCGGGAAAACAGGAAATTTAAACAAGAAAATTGTTGGCGGTAAAAAAATATTTTATTTCGATTTTTCGCGAGTGGTTTCCGATTTATTTTGATAAAATGTCAAATTTCGACAAAACTAGTCGAATTTCTTTTTCTTTCGTTTTTTCAGGATCAACGAAGTGCGGGAAAACAGGAAATTTAAACAAAAAAATTGTTGGCAATAAAAAAATATTTTATTTCGAATTTTCGTGAGTGGTTTCCGATTTTTTTTGATAAAATGTCAAATTAAGACAAAAGTGTTCGGAATTCTTTTTCTTTCGTTTTATCAGGATCAACATAGTGCGGGAAAATATGAATTTTTAAAAAGAAAATTGTCCACGCCAACAAAATAAATTATTTCGATTTTTCACGAGTAATTTCGAAATTTTTTTTGATAAAATGTCCAATTTCGACAAAACTAGTCGAATTTCTTTTTCTTTCGTTTTTTCAGGTTCAACGAAGTGCGGGAAAACAGGAAATTTAAAAAAGAAAACTGTTGGCGGTAAAAAAATATTTTATTTCGATTTTTCGCGAGTGGTTTCCGATTTTTTTGATAAAATGTCAAATTAAGACAAAAGTGTTCGGATTTCTTTTTCTTTCGATTTTTCAGGATCAACGAAGTGCGGGAAAACAGGAAATTTAAAAAAGAAAATTGTTGGCGGTAAAAAAATATTTTATTTCGATTTTTCGCAAGTGGTTTCCGATTTATTTTGATAAAATGTCAAATTTCGACAAAACAAGTCGAACTTCTTTTTCTTTCGTTTTTGCAGGATCAACGAAGTGCGGGAAAAGAGGAAATTTAAAAAAGAAAATTGTTGGCGGTAAAAAAATATTTTATTTCGATTTTTCCTGAGTTTTTCAGATATTTTTCGGATTAAAAGTCGAATTATCGTAAAAGTGGATATAATTTCGATTTTTCGCGAGTGTTTTACGATTTTTTTTTATAAATTGACAAATTAAGACAAAAGTGTTCGGCTTCTTTTTCTTTCGATTTTTCAGGATCAACGAAGTGCGGGAAAACAAGAAATTTAAAAAAGAAAATTGTCCACGGCAATAAAATAAATTATTTCCATTTTTCACGAGTAATTTCGAAATTTTTTTTGATAATATGTCCAATTTCGACAAATTTAGTCGAACTTCTTTTTCTTTCGTTTTTTCAGGATCAACGAAGTGCGGGAAAACAGGAAATTTAAAAAAGATAATTGTTGGCGGTAAAAAAATATTTTATTTCGATTTTTCGCGAGTGGTTGCCGATTTTTTTTGATAAAATGTCAAATTAAGACAAAAGTGTTCGGAATTCTTTTTCTTTCGTTTTTTCAGGATCAACGAAGTGCGGGAAAACAAGAAATTTAAAAAAGAAAATTGTCCACGGCAATAAAATAAATTATTTCCATTTTTCACGAGTAATTTCGAAATTTTTTTTGATAAAATGTCCAATTTCGACAAAACTAGTCGAATTTCTTTTTCTTTCGTTTTTTCAGGATCAACGAAAGCGGGAAAACAGGAAATTTAAAAAAGAAAATTGTTGGCGGTAAAAAAATATTTTACTTCGATTTTTCGCGAGTGGTTTCCGATTTTTTTTTATAAAATGTCAAATTAAGACAAAAGTGTTCGGATTTCTTTTTCTTTCGATTTTTCAGGATCAA